ATTCGCCATCTTCGTTGAAAATAACTTCCAAAATTTCAATAATCCATAAGAAAAACAAAACAAGAATTACCCAATTGATCAGTTACCATCCAGCTCGAACCAGCAGGCTCATCCCTACGATCCCAACCACATAAGGTCAGATTTCCCAGTTAAATTACAAAATAAAATTCCGAAAAGTCTCAATTCCTCCGGCTTTAAATGCGAAGTTGAAGCCTAATTTCTTTCACGCTTAAAGAGGAATAATCCTCAACTGAATCAATGAAACACCTCAATGAATAAATCAAGAAGAAGAAGAGAAAGATCGTATACATACAGAGTCTGAACCCATTCGATTGGGACATCAACAGAAGCAATGACGACAAGATCGGCATCGACCTTAAGCTTCACAAGTGATCTCATCATCACCCTGGTCGCCACATAGAACTCGTAGTCCCTCGGCGTCCCCATGTACATCATCGCAGCATACGCGTTACGTTTCCTACCTTCCATCGCCGGTACCGCATCACCTTCCACCGCCCCCAAAGCTATCACCACCAACAACAACACCATCAGCGCCGACCAAGCAAATCTCCGCCGTTCCTCCATTATCTTGAGCACAATAACTACGCTTTAAAACAGATCGGATTGCCCCTTCTGGATGCGGACGGTGTGCATTGCGGCTGAAGATCGGAGATTGGATGGAAAAAGATTCAGAGACAAAAAAGGAGCGCGTTTTGACGATGAGCAGGACGGGATGAGGAAAGCGAGGACGAGAAGAAGAAAGTGCGCTACTTTTCTTTAGTGTTAACGGGCAAAGTGGTGCGCGAAGAGTGCCCTAGAAGAGGAGGATCTGCTTTGTTGCTGGTGGAGTTATTGTGGCGAAGAAGAACCAGTAAAATAAAATAAAAAAAATAAAATAAAAAAACGCGGTAGATAAAAATAAAATAAAATAAAAAATGAAAATATCTCGGCTGACTCGGTTCCGATCGGCGCGGACCGGCTGGATAATCGCCTCGGATATTGTGATGCGCGCCGAATTAATATTTTTTTAAAGAAGACTATCAACTAAAACGTAATGTTTTAAGAAATAATAAAGATTAAACATGTTCATGTTAATTCTAGGGCTTTTATTTTATTTTTATTTTTTTGGGAAAATTGGGCTTTTATTAATATGATGCTTAAAATTTTTTATTTATGTGATTTATTATTATCCTATACGCAATCAATAATGTGGAACACTTTAATTATAATGAAATATATGAAAACATCTTAGATAAGGCAATTTAATATACATTGATAGTGTATATAGCTTTTTAAAGAAGAATGTGAAAATTCGATTGACTTTAGTGACATTAGCAACCTGAATGAAAATAAAGATTTATGTTTTATCGACGTATTAGTAAAATCGAAGCTAGAGAATCTTTAAATAAAATGAAGTGTGAAAAAATTGTTTGACCTTATGATATTCCAAAAGAGTGAAAATGCTTAGGACATGAATGAATATTTTGGTTTATTAAACTTTTTAATATTGTTATGAAGATTAAAAGATGTCAGATTAGTGAAGAATAAGTATATTAAAAATGAGTGGAGAATAAATGTATTAATTCATATTTTTAAGAATAAAAGTGATGCACAAGATTGTGCGAATTATAGAGGAATTAAGTTAATGTATCATAATTTAAAACTATGGGAGCAAATTATGGAGCGTAGGTTGCAGCGTGATATTGAGAGGTTTGATGTAGAAATATAAAGAGAATAAGGATAATCCACATATGATATTTATTGATTTAGAGAAACGATATGATAAAGTTCCAAAAGAAGTGTTATAGAGAGTTCTTAAAAAGAAAGGAGTTAATAATCTTTATATTCAAATCATTAATGATATGTATGCAGGAGCTATTAATTGTATTCAAACACAATGAGGTTTGACCAAGTTTCTACCTTTTTCGATTGGATTAAATCAAGGATCAGCCTTAAGCCTTTTTTTTTTCTTTAGTCATGGATGTTCTTACTTGGCATTTGCAAGAGAATGTACCTTGGTGTATGCTTTTTGCTAATGATATTCTTCTTGTTTCTAAAACTAGAGAGGGAGTTGAAGGTAAACTTGAATTATGGAGGTCAACCTTAGGGTCTAAAGGTTTTCGCTTGAGTAGATCTAAAATTGGATATAAGGAGTGTACTTTTAGTAGTAATAGACCTAGTGAGGCAATTGTGACTTTGGGCGATCAAGTATTAATAAGAGTACACGTTTTAAATATCTTAGATCTATTATTCAGAGTGAAGGTGAAATAGATGGAAATATTATCAGCAAAATTCATGTTGGATGGTTGAAGTGGAGGAATGCATCGGGCTTGTTGTGCGATAGAAAAGTTCCCCTCAAACTTAAGTTAAAATTATATCAGATGGTGATGAGACTTGCAATGCTTTATGGTGTCAAATGTTAGTCATTAAAAGAAAGGAAGCAGCCCTAGCCTCTGTCCGGCTGATCATTCCGCTGGCATCTTGCATTCACGCCCCTGTTTGACTGTCGCTCGGGGATGTAGTTGTAGATACGTGATTCTGAGTGGGTTATTGGCTCCACCTGTGATCTCCTTCATATAAGGCGAGACAGGATGAGGAAGATCCCATCCATCATGACGGATAAAGCTTGAAACTGTTATTCCCACGCACCAGATCATACACCATTCTGTCAACATTCACCAAGCTCGCAAGATTGTCCCCAAGGATCCATGGGTCCCAGAAGAATTGCCAACTACAGTGAGGTCCAACAGTAAATTCCGTTTTTGACTTTACTTCGGCCGGATCCCCCTGAAAATCGTACGTGCGGGTCTCCCCGCATGCGGCTCACGCCATTCGAGGTGGCCCGCCTATTTTCTTTGCTCCTTCACCATAGAACCAAGTACTCGCAACTGACTTCTTATTCCCACCCACCCGCCTTCTTCTTCTTCCTTCTTAAGCTTCGAAAGGCTAGCTTACCTCTTTTCTGACAGGGAACGAGTAGGTGACTTTGAGTGACAAAGCTTTCAGGCTCTGAACTCGGATTGGGGGCACGCAACGCAGGTCTTTATCGCTGCTTTCTATCTAGTAGTACTGGTTCCGAACTCACATTATGCATCTGGCCCAGTCAGAGGCTAAGCGGAGCTACCAGCTAGACTACCAGAAGAGCAGCTACTATCAGTCGAGCCATTCTCCCCCGAGAGAAAATAGAATATGGAAAAAGAAAGATAGGATCGAGGCGCCAACCAAGGGGAGGCAGGACTCTCTCCAACCATTCCGAAGAGCCGAGATATCGTAAAGGAAAAATGAGCTAGCTCAGCTAGTTTGGACCTGCGTGAATAAGTTCAGTGAAGTAAGGGAGCCTTCAGGCTTTTCCAAGCCAGCGGCTCATGCGTGCCATTTCATAGCACTCAAGGTTCTGAATGGAACAATCGGTGCATAAGGAATAAGGAAAGACCTGAATGAAAGGGTTGGACCATAACAAAAAGGGGCAAGAATGCGACAGCAGCAGATGGACTGAAGAGGGAAAACATACATCCATACGACAGGAGAACAAAGGGCGCCTTTTGTAGCTAGAATGTTCCATTCTCTGTTCTGGTACAGTGTGTACCTTTTGAGTAATGCATTTCTTTTCTTGTTCTCAACGCATTCTCCTGTCTCCACTGTCGACAACCCCGCGAAGGTATGAATTTTCCTAAACTCAGATTCTCGCCCTCGAGGTTCGCGGCGGACCAAAAAATCGCCTATACACGCCTTTATTGCGCGTGATGGGAAGGCCCAGTTTCTCGTAGTTGCTTCTTCTATTCTTTTCCCTGGCGCAGCTGGGCATAATACTAAGTTAAGTGTTGCAGAGATGAGGATGCTAGGTGGATGAGTGGCTTTACCCTTAGAGATAGGATACGAAATGAGCATGTACGTGAAAAGGTTGGAGTAGCTCTAGTGGAAGATAAGATTAGAGAGAGTCATCTTAGATAATTTGGTGACATTAAATGGAGGCCTTCCGATGACCCGGTTAGGAAAGTTGAGATATTAGATTTGACTCAAGTTAAGAAAGATAGAGGTAGCCTAAAAAACTTTGTTAGAAAATATTAGAAATTATCTTTCTTTAATAGATTTAAACGAGAATTTGACTTTTAACATGACACAATAAAAAAAAAAGATTCATGTAGCCAACCCCACATAGTGGGACAAAGGCTTGATGTTGTTGTTGTATAGTGTACATAAAATTAAAAAAATAAAATAAAATATTAATTAGTGTATAAGGCACATCATTTCTCAAACTAGCATAAGCAAGATTTTGAAAATCGGACCGAACAACAAATTAGAAGAAGAAGAGGTTCAAAGTTGACTGGTCGAACCGGGTTCGAATCGAATGACATAATAAATAATAATATTATTAAAAATTATAAAATGAATGAGAAATTTTTATGTAATACCTTCACTCTAAGTTCTATTTTCATATTAAACTAATCAAAGCACCTAAATGTGGCATCAACTGAGTCTATAAAATATAAACAAATATTTCACAAATAACTTGAGTAATATTTAATTGTAATTCAAAAAGCATCACCAAATGACACATCTTGTGGCTCCAGGTTCCCGTACGAGGTGATCTGGCATCCTGCAGCTCCCGATTCCCGCACATGATGACCAAATGATATTACATCAGGGGAGGAATGCATATCTTTTATTGAGCTCTATTATGTGTTGGGCATTGAGGAATGCATACCATCTTTAGTTCTCTTTCTCTAGCATGTATATCATGTGAAATTGTTAAAAAATGATAAGAGCAAAATAAAATGAATTAAAACATATGGTAAAATAGACAATTAAGAAATGTATAAAATAGTGCACTATATATCATTTTGAAAATTAAAGACATAAAGTAATGAGTAACTTACCTCTTCATAATTTCTCCTCTAAATTTTCTTTGAAATAGTCATTTTCTTTTCTCTAGTAGTTGTTTTATAAATGAAACGAAAATAAAATTAATACTCAATAAGAGATGCAATACAAATAACATATTCATGTTATAAAAATAAATGTTTAAAACAAACAAAAAATTATACATAATCATTCACTCAAAAAATCTAATAATTTAATAATCTCCTAGATTTGTATCATCCAATAATATATCTTCAAATCCTTCTCCACTGAAACCTTCCACCTAAAATGCGCAAACTTCCTCACATTCTAGCACTTCGTCATCATCCTACATATTTCAAGTGATATTTATGAGCGAACTATGAATGAAAAATAAATTAAATTCAATTCTGAACAAACCTTGAGATGGTCTTGTAAAAGCTATATTAGATTCTTCAGTAGGATGAAATGCATCCTTCATAAATTTTTGCCTCCAAGTCCTCCAAATTAAGTTCTGCATCCCACTCTTCACAAGCACCCAAAAGTCAACGATTTCAAAGCTTGTAAAATCTAAAGGATCATAATTCCTCCTTTCAAGCTCCAGTCTACAAAGCTAAAATAAAACTTGATAACTAGTAAATATAATATGCAATATTAATGAAAGAAATATTTCAATATACATTAATGAATTACCTATTTCTCAAATTGAGGTTATATCGTACATACACAAAATCATTAAGTCTTTGATGTTCTAAGTGATTTCACCTTTTACTATGAATCTGTACAAATATGCTCAAGTTTCTTTTACATCGAGAAGAAGATGATGTTTTGCTCAGAATTCAAATAGCTAATTTTTGTAAGTTTGGTGCACTAGAGCCAAATATCTTCCATCATTCATATGCAATTCATATAATAATAATAATATATTTAAGTTGTACTTTAGAAAGTCGATATTAAAAAGCAGGATTAAGTTTGTACCAGGATGCATTTCTTTCACCATTTTTAAAGCAAGTGAGCTTTC